GGTGTTCAGCATCTAGTACCACATTAAAGGAATTAGACAGAGTGCAAAATCAAGCGCTCAGAGTCATCACAGGAGGGATGAAATCAACCCCCATATTAGAAATGGAGAAAGCTGGGAAAACACAGGCACTGAGAGAACGCAGAGATACAAAGTTGCAAATACAAGCTGAAAAGTTCCTCAGTATGCCAGATCACCCGATGGAAAATAGATTTAAGAACCTAGCCTTGGGACGGTTAAAAAGAAGCAGCTTTATACACCAAGCAAAAAGAATATGTAGAAAAACTCCTGACCTTCCAGAAATTGGCTGCCCACTTAAAAGTATTCCGGAACAAACCCCATGGAGAGAAAAATGTAAACTTACATGGTACAAATCCAGACAAATGTGAAAGGGATATTTGACAAGAAAGAGCAAGATAGTGTACAACGCAAAATGGCCACCCTCAGTTATATTGATGAAGAATACCCACAAGAACAATGGGTCAGAGTCTATACAGATGGGTCCGCAGAAAGTGCAGTTAGAAATGGTGGTGCTGGAGTGTACATCGAATTCCCAGATGGTACTAGGGATAAGTCCAGCGTACCAACCGGGAAGTACTGCCATAACTACGATGCAGAAACCCAGGCTATTAAGATAGCTACAGAGAAACTGCTAAATACCAACCTTGGCTCACAGTATGTGGTAATGCTCACAGATGCTAAATCAGTACTTGAAGCACTCCAGTCTAGGAAACTACCAGAATTGCAAACACTGCTGACACAACTCAGCGTTCAGCGAAGAGTCGTAATGCAGTGGATACCGTCTCATTGTGGAGTGCCTGGAAATGAGAAAGCTGATCAACTGGCAGGGGAAGGTGCGAAAAAAGAGCAGCCAGATGTACCAGTCACATACCACCAAAAGAAAAGAATCATTAAATCGATCAGGAAACCACCAGCCCCAGCACAAGACGACTATTTTATTATGGACAGACCAGAACAAGTCATTATCTTCACAACCGATTACGTAACCACATGTACACAAAATTCAAGATAGGTGTATCAGCCATGTGCACCTGTGGAAATGTGCCCCAGACCGCAAAGCATGTACTCCAGGACTGCACCGATTTTGACACATTAAGGCAAACCTTTTGGCCAAAAAGAACAACAGTGGAACGTAAACTCTATGGACCACTGAATGAACTAACAACGACAGTGAAATTTATACAAGAGACAAAACTGCTGATATAGATAACTTATTTCAGGCGAACGAAAGAAGAAGAAGGGCACAATGACATACTTTTAATTTTTCCATTTAAAAAAAAATTGTTTATAGCTCACCACTACCCAGTGACCAACAGGAAACCCCTCTTGAGCCCAAATGGGTGTCATGCACCAATGTATTGGGAACCTGTGCACTAAAGCCTTTATAGAGGCCTGTGTTCTTCTTTTCTGAAAACCACTGGCAGGAAGATGGGGAAAAAAAGAATTTGTAATTTAGAGATGCCAAAAGATATGTACGTTATTTTGTACCATTCTGTAAAAGTAAATGTGACGTAGTGTACTTGCCTGCCAAGTTCCCTATGTTTGGTGGTAAAGAATAATAGACCCATTGCTTTTTATCAAGCATGTTGAAAAAAGAGACTGATTAACTCTTTCAGTCCCAAGGAACGCATCATTGATTCCTACTTTGAAGCTAATGAACACAAAATGTGCCGATCATATATGTCTCTTTACTACCCCTGGGGCCTCTGATGCTAAATACTTTGCGACTGAAAGAGTTGAGAATTAAGTTGGCGGATGTCACATTGATGTAAACCACAACCCAGCTTGTCTGCTGCCCCTTGAAGTGCAAACGCAGAAGAAGCAGTTTGCAAGGTTTACCCAGCAGATGCAGGAGGATTTTTCCCTGACAAGTGCAGATCTGAAGTTGACCCTACCTCATACAGGTGGGTTCGGATGATTGATTTTCTGGGAACTGCATGGGAAGAAAAGCTGTTCAGGAAGAAAGGAAATGTGGCTTTCAGGTAATATGGAATATAATGTTTTGCCACTTCGTCATGCCAGAGTAAGGGATCACACACCTGATTTTCTTAGATACGGTGGAAACCCCAGAGAAACTATCTACATTAAAAGTATATAGAAATTAGATTAGAATTAGAAGTGAAAACTGTAGACACAAGGGAGATGAATAGTCGTAGACCATGAGGCAGACCAAGAAGAAGAAGGTAGAGAGATAATGTCCAGTCATACCTGTATACACTTGGTGTCACCACCTGGAAAGAGAAGGCCAACCAGAGAGATGAACGGAGGCGGGTAATATCTGCAGCCGATGAACCTCAAGGGCTTGGAATGCTGAAGAAGAAAAAGAAATTAGATCTGAATAGTTGACTGTCCCGTCAGCTGTTGATTTCCCCTGGATTTCCTGTGTTTAAGGTGAATAAAGAGGAAACCACCACTATATGCTGACCTCTCATCCTGCTCTACAAGTTAAGAAATGATCCACAGAAGCATGTTAAGGTGTGACAGACCACAGTTTTAGCTCAGCATATTTAGTCTAGCTTACATGCAGCCTGTGTTGATAATATGTACTTCTTGGGTTTAAGTATTTTATAAACAAACTCCAGTTCAATGCCCAGAGGTAAAAATACATCCTGGATACAGAAACATTCTCCTCAGCTTTCAAATCTATGGTTTGAGTTATAATTCAGATTAGTCCAGCCCGTAATTTGTCATATCCTGCCTGTTGGACGTTTACAAGTCTTTTGTATTTCGTCTTGTAGATTGTGTAATTTTTTCCTTGCATAAACATGTTTTTATAATTGTTTGTCTTTACAGGAGAACACCTAGAACCACGGAGCCTGGTAAAAGGTACAATCCTTCAGTACACCAGCCAGCAACTCAGGAAGAGCTGCAAAAGATTTCAGATGATCTGAATTACCAGTGCTCAAATGATCAGCTGCAAGCTATCACTGGTAATTTTGTTCTCATTTCTCGTAGATTTTGTTATAATTTCTTAGCTTTGTCACGTGTCATAGCTTTCATTTGCAGTCCCCCTAACTTTTGTTTTCATTTCTCAAAGCTTTTATTGTTGTTTCTCATAGCTTTTATTATTTCTCATAGCTTTTATTGTCAATCATAAATGAGAGTTTCCTACTTCTTCAAATATTGTTTGGTTAATGAGAAGTTAATTGAATAATGAACAGATGTTTTCAAACAATGAGAAATTGATAATTTATTAATAAATCTTGTTTGATTAGGGAGAATTGTTTTGCCAGTCTTCTTCTTCTTATGGACCACCCTGTGGAAGTTCATGGACCGCAGTTGTGGGTGAGGGGGTGCCACCACCCCTCCCCCTTCCCAAGCAGACATGTTGTAAATGGTTACTAATTAGAGGCTCGTGGGGCTGAAAGGCCCATATAATGCAGCTCAACTATAAACCACAACACAACTTGCTAATCGCCTTTTTAATATAAATTTTTTTTTTAATTTAAGGCAAATGTCGAAGAAGAATCAACAAACTGAAAACATACTGTTGTGGGCATGTTTTCTAGTGCTTATTTTTGTTTTTCCCGAGGCAGTTGCCAATATGGCCTACTCTTTATGATTTCTATTGGGTGTCTACTTTAGCTGCAAATTCAAACCATCAAGATGTCAGCAAAAGGCTTGAGGATGTGAGTTAGATATGGCTGTATGATTCATTGGTCTTTATATGTCTTCTGTTCCTCCCAATGGTGCATATGCCCTCAACCAACTCATGCGAAGTCATTCTATCCTTTATTGTTGCATGCAGCTTACCCCATGTCCTCTCCATCTATTTAGCTTTACTTTTTAGCTCTGTTATCCATGTGTATTTTCTTTATTTTGGGTCTGCCTTATTTCTGTGCCACTGTAGATCCAGTGCAGAGACATTCTAGTCATATTGTTCTCAGGTTTTCTCAGCGTGTCCTATCCAACGCCAGCTTCTTTTCTTCACCTCTTGGTCTCTGGAACTTGTTTAATTCTTTCTGGGGCCCTCACAGGAAGCAAAGAATAGTATCACTGCACTTTGCCAGGCATCTTGTAAGAGGTGACTAAGGAAAGGGTTGAAGTTGGCTATCTCATCCTGTGAAAACAATGGCCACAAAAACCAATCAGGCACGGAAAAGTAAGAAAGAGAAACAAGAAGAAGCTTTATTGCTAACTGGCTTATTTCCCTGGCATGCTGCTTTCTCAAGGTTTGGTACCTGTACAACTCAGAGTCATAATCTGGATGCTAATCCAACTGCTCGTAAACCATATTCCCTGTGTGGGTTCCAGGGCCACATTGTGGGGAAATTAAGATAAGACCCAGTGCCTCCCCAACAAGCATGTTGTAGGAGTCGATTAGTTTGAGGTTTCCTTGGAAGTTGGAGTGCATCTGAGTGGCAAGAAACAACCAGCTGCACACAAGTAAGCCAGTAAAACGGATGTACACACAAAACTCCGGTCCTGGCACAAAGCCAGAGTCCAAATGGACGAACAACCAGGACTTTCAGCCGGAGCTTACAGCTGGTGAAGAAGAAGAATAAATCCCACATAGCTTGTTCACCCCCAAGTTATAATTAGAGCATAGGTACATCATTTATTACTCTAGTGTACTTTGTGTCATTGGTAGATGAAAAGCACAACAAGAAGAATATGATTATATTGCTAATAAAAATTTTTATATATTATTTCTGCTTCTTTGTGTTTCACTGGCTGTAAACCAAGGTAGTTCGTCTACTTCTGGATTTTCTTGTTCCAAAACCTGAGTTTTGTGTGCACATCCATGTTTACAGATCTGGCTTATTTATGTGCAGACTGTTGGTTTCTGTTACCTCTGAGGCAGATGCCCTCTAACTCTGAAGGAAACACCACTAATAATTTGATGTTTACAACATGTTTGTTGGGAGACAGCGCGTCTGTTATTCTTTCCCTTTACAATGGGTCCCCTGAACCCACACAAGAGAATTATATTGTTGAATGTTATTGCATAAATTGAAGTTATCTGAAACTTTATCACACAGAAAGCGTGAATGAAACCTTTGATACCTTAAAGTCACTGGACACAATGTGTGACCTGGTACCTGAAGTCAAGTACCCTCGTATTCCAGGATACAGACCAAAACCTGAGGACAGATTTGGCAATGCCTGGTAGGTTATTAGTTATAAACAGTTTTTTTTTTTTTAAACGGTCCACAATTTAAACCATGTAATGGCGAGGTTGTTTTTTTTTTTTTTTTTTTATTTTAGAAGAAAAAAAACGCAAAAAGTAGATTGCACAATTTATTGCCTGGCATTTTTTTGCTGTATCTTGTCAGGTGCGTACTACAGTAACAATACATAAATGAATGTAACAAATATGCAAATCCTTTATAATTGAAGTACAAGTTCAACAACAGTCAAACGCAGCTGCCTGTTTTACCAGGGCAGCGCAGTGTCAGAATCATATCTTTCTTGTTTACAAAGTTCAGGGCCGAGGTAACGAATCGTGGCGGCTTCAAGAAATCTTAGCGTTCTGCCATTGTCTGATATGATGCTGACACTGCAGCTGCCCTGGTAACAAACACGCTGTAGGCTTTTGATGTTGTTTGTAAACATTTGGAGAAAAGCATTTCTTATTTTTTATTAATTTGTCCACAAAACGACAACACCACTAGTAATTGGCAGCACTGCGCTAAATCAATGGTTTCATTAAATTGGATTGAAAAAAAGGGGGGCCAGTCTCAGGTTTCAAATAACTTGTTTTACTGTCTTCCGCAAGGTCATTTATCGTACAGTCCACAGTGCTGTCAGGAAAAGATATTTATTTTTGATAGATTTTCGTGACATGCATCACCCAAGCAATATTAGCAGCTAATAAAATGAAAGGGTTAACGAGCATTTCTCCAATTGTTTGGGCTTTCGCTGCCTAGTAAGACCAGTTCATATGATGCTTCAATATCTTTTTATTCTGTTGACTGAAAGTACTGGTTGAATCCAGTTTTGTCCGCTTCAGGAGGTTTAGTTTACAAGCAAAATATTCTGCAGGTTTATTTACTAACTCTGGATGCACAGCATTTGAAAGCCTTTCTAAATAAACAAGTCTCTCTGCATCATTACAGAGAAAACAAAGGCAGACAACACATTGAGGTTGTTGCTTGCCATTACTAACACCATAATACCAAACTTAGTATAGTCAACTTTATACAATCTTTTCTTTGGAACAATAATATTATTTTCATATCACTAAAATGGATGCACACTGAAGAGTTTACATCATTTTTCAAAAATAACACTACCAAATTGTATGGTGAATGAGTTAAATGTTTACTTTAAAAATGTGGATTACACTTGTGCTATCAGTCATTTGGTTAAAAAAAAAAGTATACAGATATGTTTTGGTCAGAATCTTGTGATGAATTACATACGTTATCCTGTTAATAGTAGATGTAGTCAGCTCTGTGGCTAAGTCGATGGCGAACGCTTCGTAATGACGGGGTGCCAGCTGCAGGCCATGCGCTTTGTGTTGGTTTTGACAGTGGTATCAAGAAGCCGACCGTCCAGAAAGCAATGGCAAACTACTGGATGTAAATTTGTCTAGAGAAACCACACAACAGCCAGGGGCTGCTGGGGTTGGTTCTGCAACGTCCTGTAAAGGATATGCAACTAACCTAATGGTAGATGTGCAGACTGCTCATGAAAATGAAAACATCTTTGACTTGTGTGTTTTATACATAGTTTTAAAAAAAATATTTTATTTATGATGACGCTTAAACTTTGTTTGAATGGTGATTACAAGTACAAATGCCCTTAGTTTCAAAATTGTTTGAAGGCCCCCCCCCCCCCCCCCCCCCCCCCCCCTCAATCTCAGCTACACGAAGCACAGGTATGTTTCAGACAGGGCAGAGAAACTAGGGATCACATCTTTAATATGAGAATAAAAGAATAAGGTAGAGAATACTGTATAGATCGCCATGCTTCTTTGATGAATTGTACACGGCCTTCAGTTTGCCCAGCATCAAAAATTGTTGAGTATTATGAGAAAATGGGGTTTCCAACACATGTGGTACATAATTTAATTGAAAGTTTGTTTGATAAACAAGCAGCTGTCAGAGTAGCTGGAGAAAGGTCAAATTTATTTGAGGTGCAAAAGAGAGTGAGGCTTAGGTGCATTTTATAACCATCCCTATTATTCAGTATGTGGGAAGAAAGCATAATGAGAAATGTAAAAAAAAAAAATGTCTAAACTTGGGACAGTTATGATCCGCTCATCATTTATGGCAACATTATTCCAGAACTTCCCTATGCAGTCAACACAGTCTTCCTTTCAAACATTATAAAGGGAATAGAACATTTAATCATGTTTGTTTAAAACTGTAGTGGAGATCAAAATCTTATTCTGAATTTCAAGATAATAGAAATAATGCTCACACAATAAACTTTTTAAAAAAAACTCACCTAAAAATTGCAATAAATGATTAAGAAATCGAAAATGTCCCTAATTGGGCATATCCAGACTCCATAATAAACAGCAATGAAGACTGCTCAACAGATGTCAAATGGAGGATGGCTATTGCAATGCAAAGATGAAACTGCATTAAGAGTATATGGTTATACACTAACAAGGAAATCAGCATGTCAAGTACAGGATGCCTATGGATGTGTGAGTCATGGACTGTCCAGATCAAGTGCCACAGCAGATTGGAAAGCATAGTGCCAGCAAAGAAGGGCAGGGACTGATGAGTATGAAAACTGGCATGTGATATAAATGACACCTTGCTTAGGATGGTTTGCAAAATTGGAGGTCTGGTGAGAGGCTTGAGTCTTTTACCCCAGGCAAGCTGTTACTACAGAATTTGTTTGCTGAACTGAGAGACTCCTTGGGTGATCTATGAGAGAATACTTCAGCACTCATGGAGATATCTGTGTATTTTGTTGTTGTTCGTTTTTTCTGTTTGTTTAGTAGATGATTTGTTTTTCTGGTTATCAGGCAACAATGCTTTATGGAATTAGCTTCTTGAGCTCTAAATACAGTTAATTTACTTGTATGTCATAGACTTGTTCATTTATATGCTCTAAGTATTTTGTTTTTTAAAATCCAAAATTCTTCATCAAAGGGTGTGGCGGTGTGACATAGCTGGAGCACCTTTCGGAAAACTCTTTGGGAAATCTGTAGCCATTACAGACAACACAGCTGTAGCCGGGGTGCCCATGTCAAATGGAAGTCAGCTTCTGGATGGATATATGCCAGAATACGATGCCACGGTGATCACCAGGATACTGGATGCTGGTATGTTCTTAATTGCTTTCAGAAGATGCCATGAATAAAATCCACTCAAATAAAAGCAACTAGTCAGCTTGCCAATAAAACACAATCCCCAGTGACAAATTGAACAGTGCAGCTAGAAAGCCTTCATTAGCTACAGGTGACCAGCCTCTAAATCATCCATAAGGTGAATAACCAGCAGTCAGTGGGTACTGTGAGTGTGGAGGCTGTTATGAGGTCAGCTGCCTTGAGAATTATATATTCACACTTAAATAACAAATAAATAAAAAGACATATCTATAGTTACTCAAAAATTTAGCTACTCAAATTATAAGAATTAATAAGTAATCCTGTCACTGACCTAGAACGCTTCGAGTCCGAAGTGCGTGGTTCATTAAATTAGATCCTTTCCACGCTCCACACCTCACAATGACCTCAGCTCCCAGGTGAACCTAGCCTAAAATGGGTATGAGTCATCCAGTTCATTTGGGGGGGGGGGGGGGGGTTTAAGAGGTCAAGATAGCCTCATCCTTTGCAAGCATGTCATAAACAGAGACTAAGATTTTCCTGAAATCAGATGTCTTGGGTTTAAAGCTATAGCTGGTTGTTATTCTTTTATTATTTTGTTACTCTTGTTTATAGACACAATAATTGTTCTCTACAGGTGGGAGAATTGTAGGCAAGGCTGCCTGTGATGACTTTTGCTTTGGTGCTATGGGCTTTTCTGCTGTAGATGGTTACATCAGCAATCCTGAACATCCAGAGCAGCGTGTTGGTGGTTCCAGTGGTGGGTCTGCTGTCTTGGTAAGTTCCTGTTTTCTACCTTAAATCTTTCATGCACCAGGTTTTACAGATTTTTATGCAAGACTCCTGCCACATGTCATATGCTAGGTTTAGTGAGTCATATTTGCGAAAAATTAGCTGACACAGGATCTTGGAGTTGGTAGCCCCCAGAGATGCATTGTCTAGAAAACCTCTAGCTTTCTTCAGCCAACACCTAATGCGTGGATGATAATGTCTATCAAAAACGCATTTAGAACACGGTCGAAGCATGCTGGCTGAATATCGTACTGAATGACAAATCTGTGTTCAAACATCTGTTGACCAAAAATTCTTTAAATTGCTGATTAAGCTCAGATGTCCATCAGTCGAGTGTCCTACGGCATGACAGCAACATTTGAGATGACCACCTCGATAAGAACTGTCAAGCAACATCTCTTGTGTGTGGTTTCTCGTGGTTCGGTCCCATGGCATAACAGCAGAGTTTTAAATTTCCGACCATCAGATTTCTTACTGTGGCAAATGATCTACTATGGGACAGACAAGGTTCACATGTCCACTGTCATTGGCCACATTCGCGCGAGTGTCGAGACCAAAAGTCTGATCACAGATTGTCCTACTGTTTGACAGAAAAGGCTCAGATGTCCGACCGCAAATTGTCCTATTGTTTGATCGACAAGGCTGAGATGTCTGACCACAGATTGTCCTACTGTTTGAAAGAAGGGTTAAAATGTCCACCACCCTTGTTCCCACTTGTTGCAGGATCAGGACCAATGGGGAAGCCTTGCCTGATGTGTGCATTTCCTATACTGTCGTGCTAAGTAATCCTGATGCAACAATGTTAAAGGTGTCTAACGTGCAAAAGAAGATTGTGGCCAGTTGTGTGGACTACAGGCTACAGATCCCCAGAGGGTGTTGATCCACGGAGGGTGCAGCCTGTGATGAGTATAAGCCACATATTGTTTTATCACCAGTGGCTTTTTTTATGGCACAGATGATTCACCAGGGTAGATGAATGAATCATCATGAGATAATGAAGGCTGTAGATTCTTCATTAAAATATTAACTGTGTGAATACAGAAATATAATGTGACAGTTTTCCAGTTTATTCCTGTACTAAATCATCTTTAATTTTACATTAAATTTCTAAAAGGTGGCAACCGGACAAGTAGACTTAGCTATAGGAGCTGATCAAAGTGGTTCTGTTCGAGTCCCAGCAGCATGGACTGGAACCGTTGGCTTGAAACCAACTTTTGGTCTCGTGCCGTACACAGGGGTCGTACCAGTGGAACCTTCGGTTGATCATGTTGGACCTATAACCAGAAATGTCTCTGACTGTGCACTGTTTCTGGAGGTGAATTTCATATTTTAATCTTTCATTGTGGTACCGGAATGTTCCTGTTTGTTTAAAAGATTATAGAAATAAAAGTGATATTGTGTATTATGAGAGGAAAGAATGATTATTCATTGTACCAGTAGTAAAATTTGAGCAGTAAACAGTGTTCCTGTTTCTTGTTGTTTATCAGCAAGTTTATAAGACCGAAAGTAAAACAAATGTTCATCATTTACATCTTTGTGGGTAAAATGTTCAGAATATTCAAGGTTTTTCTTCTTCTACTTTACTTCTCTTCTCCCCCCCCCCCCCCCCCCCCCCCCCCCCCCCCCCCCCCCCCCCCCCCCATCCCTATTGTTGTTTGATTCACAGCAAGATGAAATAATTGGAAGTATATAGAAAAAATTCTTTTGTTCACATTTTATAAATAACAAGACAGACAGGCTGTAATATTTGTAACATGACAACCACACAATGCTAATGCTTCTTTTGTATTCACCCTTAAAATGGCATGTCATGTTGTGGTTTACAGCTTCTTCTTCTACTTCAGCCCTTTATTCCCTAGTGGAGTACAAACTCACACCAAGCCATTCTGTTCTTTGCTATTACATGCAGCTCATCCTCATCACCTCCCTGTATTCCTCTTCTTCTTCTTCTTTCTGTTCAACGGCTGTAAACTCTAACGGAAAGTTCTGGTTGTTTGTCCACTTCTGGATTGCATTTCTGTTCCAGAACCTGAGTGTTGCGTGTGCATCCATTTGACAGATCAGACTAGTTTGTATGCAGACTGTTGGTTCCTTGTACTTCGACTTCGAAGGAAGCTCTTAATTAGTTGACTTTTACGACATGCTTTTTGGGTAGGCAGTGGGTCTATTGTTGTTTTCCCTATAATAGGGCCCCGGAATCCACACGGGTAGTATCCCTGTATGACCCTGTATGAATCTGTTCTCCTCGACCCTCTCCTTTTTTTTACCAGTGGAACCCCCACAACGAACTATACTTCTGAAAGATTTCCAATCCTTGCTTCTGGATATTTGTTGAGGGGAACATAGCAAGGTAAACTTGTAGAGATTTCTCACACCAGTTTATAATAGAGAGTAATATAGCTATCACAGGTAGCCTTTATATTTTTCATTGGTTAATTGTAGACTTTAACAAAAATCACTTGAATCAGTTGCGAGTGTCTGTATTTTCAGGTTATTGCTGGTAATGATAGTTTGGATGGGAGACAGGCTATAACTATTGAGATTCCTGACTACAGCAAAATGGTAAGAAAAATTAGAATAATCTTAAGTGCAGTTGATAATAGTTTTTACTTCTTTATTTTAAATCTATCTCCCTGGAAGCCACAAACCCAGTATTTATATTATTGCTGCAGCCCAGTAAAGGCCACAAAACTGGTATGTCTGTGGTGACTTGTTTCTCAGAAGCATAGTTTAGTGTCACTGGGTTTGTTAGCGCCTAGCCTGGCTTTTCTAAAGTCATTTTGACATACAGTTTGCCATAACCTTAGTGATTGAGGTCACGGTCATTGCATGAGTCTCCTTTCACATGTATTTTCTAGGTCATGTAGGATGTTTTTCATTGAATTCTTTATAATGTTTACATTTATTAATTACTCCCTTGCTATATCTACACTATAAAATGCAGAATCCATATGTCTCTGTACACTTTCAGCGAAATGAAAACTCCTCCCAAATGGCAGCCAGTAGACAGGTAACATTTTTAGATGCCATTCTGGCTGAAATGTCAAATTGAATGGTGACATTGGGAGCCAAGTTTATAAGCAGTATTGATTTTTAGCATCCCAGTCACTAAAAGTTTACATTTGCTGGAGTATATCCCTTTGAGTAACCCTTCTATTACATCCCTTGAAATAATTTGAAACAAAAATTATATTTAAACCGAGCCATATGGACTGTCAGATGACAGACATTTGAACCTGAGCTTATCATTTAGTATAGTATTTGTCCAGAAGCTTTGACCCATTTTTAAAACGTATTTTCATCTACATTGTCACCTACCCACAGAGTTTAGGCTGTTGGAGATTTCTGGAACACTATGTTGGGACCTCCGTCTCCAAGACCTACCAGCTCATGTTTAGGCCGATATAGGCCATTATCTGTAGCTTATGATGCATAAGGATTCATAAAACCTGCTGTTAGCGCTTCTTCTTACACACATCACAACGGCTTTTCCTGACACCTTTGGCCTAAATCACCTGCTGCGACTATATATTATTATGGTTAGTATTATCAGTTACACAGCTAACAGTATATTATTGTAAGTAATTCCAACTACATAGCTGACATTATATTATAATTATTTTGTTATATACTTGTTATCATTTTATGATCTGCTACACAGCTGGAAGTAAACATGACTGGTAAAGTGATTGGTGTGTTACAAGAAGGGTTTCAGACGTGCACACAGGAAACACAGGCAGCTGTTAGAGAGTTTCTGGCAACTGTTGTACAAGCTGGTTTTGTTTTGAAACGTGTCTCAGTGCCTTTACATCTCCATGGTATGTCTGCCTCATCCATGTTTATATTTAAAGCTGACTCTAGTCTACATATTTTACGTGCTTTATTAACAAATTGAGACCTATGGCTAAGAGGTTAGTGAAATCGTTTGTCCCCGGGTGGCTGTTATAGGGAAAACAAGAACAGACCCACTGCCTACCCAAAAGCATTTCGTAAGAGTCGACTAATTGGAAGCTTCTGATAACAAATGAGTCAGATCTGTAAAACAAGATCTGTGGAACAAGACTGCAGTCCAGAAGTGAATGAACAACCAGAACTTTCCACCAGAGTTAACAGCTGGTGAACGTGAAGAAGTGAAATCGTTGAACAGTTTCGTGGTGCTCAGTTAGGGCCAGATTTTTTGGTGGATACTTTTGTTAACAAAATTTTAATGACAGGAGAATAAGAGTCTTAACAGCACTCACGGCTAGCTAATTAACTAGAGAGAGAGAGACTTTCAGCCATGAAGAGAGCGACGTTCTTGTAAGGATTTGCTGACTGACTGATTGAAATACTGTGTTGTTATGTGACCATAATGTCTCAATTTGAATTGTAAATAGTCAGATGTTAAATGACATGGCTGCTATTTGCATGTTATGTCTGATGTTTTTTTAAACATATGTTGAAGCTGACTTTGTAAATTATTTGTGCAGTCTAGCCAATAACATAGACTGATTGTATTATGGCCAAGGCAAGATCACAATCAAGAGTTACACTGTGGAAGAGATTGGGGTATGACCACGTAATGTTTCCAAAGTCAGCAGCAGATGCACCCTGGCCATGTAGTGTTTCCAAAGTCAGCAGCGGATGCACCCTGACCTCGTAGTGTTTCCAAAGTCAGCAGTGGATGCACACTAGCCAATCTTCATTAAGGAGATGGCACAAAATAAAAATCAAAACAAATTTCCTATATTTATATTGTGCTTGATTACACTAACTGACATGGTCAAAATATTTCAGTTATTTAGACTAATATATTTCACATAAACAGATTAATTTAGTACAATGTCATGTCACATATTTCAGAGAGATATGTTGTTGTAGTCTGTCATTGGATGTCAGAAAAAGCATTCTGTAATTTATGTAGAGCTAATTTTGACATACAGCTGTGAATCCTGAATAATCAGTAAATAGGCAAAAATAGGTTTCTTTTGAGCGCTCTGGAAAGTAATTCTACAGAAGAATACTGAATATTCTGTTGCAGTGAGTACTCTGAATGTTTTGAAAGAGGCTTAGACATAAAGACAACTTATAAAAAATATCCAAGCGAAAAGAAAAAACTATAAATATTGTGGCTATCCTCCGAATAACGGCCACATGTTATGGTGGCCAAAAACAGGGCCTCAGTCACATGTAAATTGCGGACTTCCTGCGACTATACTGCCACCGCCGAGAGCATCTTCCGCGCCACTACGCACGGAGCAGGGCTAAACTAGATTGCTGGGACTCATGGAAGCTGCTGCTCGTGGGTCCCAGCCATCTAGTTTAGCCCTGCTCCTCGGCGCCGGAGATACTCTCGACAGTGGTGGTATAGTCTCCGGTCTGCAATTTAAGTCACCGGAAGTCCGCAATTTACATGTGACTGAGGCCTTGTCAGGGTGTGTTATTGGCCGCCATAATATGTGGCCGTTCGGAGGATAGCCAATATAGTGACTGTTGGAATAATTCATTATAAATCACCCTGAACTCTTCAAGAAATGTAAACCAGAATGTAGATACTCAAGGAATATAGTAATTTAAGCATTTAGTGATTGTGACATTTATTTTTAGAAATAAGTAGAGACTTTGTTGCAAATAACACAGTTAACCTAGACATTGCAGACAGAATGACATCTGCAGATTTCACTCCTCTACTGGTCACTGGGAGGAGTTCTTGTGACACAGAAATATACATGCAGCTACATGGATTTTCAGTTTTATGATATAGATTATATGTAGTCACTTTTATTGAAGAACTATCTCTTTTTTTTTTTTTTTTTTTCTGTTTTAGCGCTGACCTTACTTACAGCTATAACCATTCAAGGGAACCAGACAGTTTTGCAGATGGGCTGTAAGTAGCCAAACTAGCTGAAATTAGATATCTGTATTTTTTCTTTTTGCTGGGGGTGTTCAGAATGTAATGCACCACATTGTTTTCTAAGCTAATTATGAAGACAGAAGCACAAAATTTTGCACACATCAAATTCAGCAGATCTGCTTATCTTTCACAACAGTGTGCGCTGTCACACAAGTCTGGCAACACGGAAAACAATCATAAAATTATGTTGGGTTGTACTACCCCATCCACCCTCAGATTTTCAACATTTTGGTCCGCCTAAAGATGTACTCTGTGGAACAAGGTTTGAAGATTATGGAGTGCTTCATGCAGCAAAGAAATGGCCTCAGGCAACACATAATCTGGTAGGGGCTAGGAATACATGCAGTTGTTTTGCACTGGCATACAGTCTTGGGACTTAAACTCCATACAGGCGTGGGACCTAGGCTGCACTCACTTGTGGAACCTGGGCTGCACTCTTTTGTGGGACATAGGTGAGTTAAGGTTAGGGCCAATTCTGGGAGTTTTGGGGCCGTTAATAGTGCTCACATTATGCAATATCGCCGGCAGCTGACAGCGAATAAATCTTCTTTAAAAGTGGGAGGCTTCTGCCTGAGTGGCAAGAAACCAACAGTCTGCATACAAGTAAGCCTGATCTGTAAAACTCAAATTCTGGAAGAATACCGAAGTCCTGAAGTCGACAAACAACCAGAGCTTGCTGCCAGGGTTTGCAGCTGGTGAATGCTAAGAAGAAAAAGTAGACGAATTCCTTCCTTAAAATTAATAAGATGTCTATGTAAACTAAATTTATGTGATATAACTTTAACAGGATTTAATGTACTATGTGTATTGCAGCAAGCGGACAGTTCTTACAGGGGTTTTACCCCACGACCCTTGAAAAAGCCGTGAGACAAGGATTACAGTCTTCAGCAGAGTTGTTAGCTCCAGGGATCAAATTTTACTCCATGGCTGGAGAGTTTATTACACGTCGCTATGGCAACCACTACTACTGCAAAGCAAGAAACATCACTCTGGAACTGTCATTTCAGTACGAAGAAGTCTTCAGAGATTGTGATGTCATTGTCATGCCAACTTTACCCCATCCTGCTACAAAATTTCCACAGACCGGGAACACAGAAGCAGACTCTCTTAAAGGTAACATTTAAAAAAAAAAAATAGCAGATTAGACAATATGTTACTGAAATAGATTATAAATATTCCCTGTTTGGTTTCTGGGTCCCCATTGTGGGAAAGTCAAGAATAGACCCACCGCCTTCCCAGCAAGCATATCGCAGGATTGACTACTCTCTTTTATTTTGGTAGGAATTGTATGTTTTGAGTTCGAGCCTGCGCAAACATTTAGGAGGTCAGGATAGGAAAACGTTTAGAGGGGTTTTCCTTTGCGTTAAATAGCTGTTTTTTTTTTTTTTTTAAGCCAAGATAACATCAGATTTTCTAAGTCTCAGTGATAAAGGTCACGGCATGAGTCACCTGATACATGTGTGTTATTTAGGCCCCCGGAGATGCATTCAATTTAATGCTTCACCTCATTCATGTTTTTTTTTATTACTCCTTTCATATATCTTTATATATTTTTAAAAAAAAATAATTTTTAAACGTCGATAAATATATTTTAAACAAATTTATTAGTGACCTGTTTATTTTCCCCTATCTTGAAGCTCATTGCTTTGATCAATCTGTTCTCAGCATACCTGGAGGAAAGCACACATCTACTGGTGAACACGGCAGCAGCCAACCTGACTGGACATCCAGCCTTGTCTTTACCCCTGGGCAAGCTCGGAGATGGGAGTGTAGACAGCCTCATGATTGTTGGCCGCAAATATGAGGAGCTGACAGTACTGCAAGTTGCCAGGGCTTTGGAGAAAATTATTCCAGCCAGAAATTAGAATGTTATGTCAGACTGTCAGTCAGGTTTCCAACTTAATTGCAAAACTGATTCATTCCGTGTGGGTTCCTGGGCCCTATAATTTAAAACAAGAATATACTCACTGCTTACCCAAAAGCATGTCGTAGGAGTCAACTATTCAGGAGCTTCCTTCGAAGTTGAAGTGCATCTGCCTGAGAAGCAAGGAACCAGCAGTCTGCATACAAATGTCAGATCTGTAAAACAGATGCACACGCACCGCTCAGGTTCTGGAATAGGGCTGCAGTCCAAAAGTGGATAAAAAACCAGTTTAAAGCTGGTTAACGTGAAGAAGCTGCTGAAGAAATTCCTGTGGCAGTAGACACTTCAAAATGCAATAGTAGAACATGCATCAGATATTTAAGGCAAACACCAGAGGTGCCAACACCAACAGTCTGTTATTAGATTTGCAATTTGTTGTTGATGGAAACAGCAGATGGCAAAACAGCAGGTGCACACACATGACTGAACAAGGCACACCACTATTTCTGTAACAGCCAGTCATTTACCATTTCTCAATTTGGAGTTTATAATACACTTATTATGGGAACACAGAAAATAAGCTTGGTCCATGGAATCTACAGCTCTCTGTGTTGCACCGTGTACTCAACTCAGTAGCAGGCCAAATGGAGCCAGATTTCTCTTACTTTTGCTTTTTCCGTTTTCTGGGGGGGGGGGGGGGGGGGCAACCTTCCACTGGATTATCCAGGATTACTTGGGAGAATAGAATGTAGCATATAAAGGTGAAGTAGGCTGGAGTAAGAAATGATTAGAGACATTAAGAACCTTGTATTGCACAATATTGCTTTATTAGGGCTCCCATATGTGGGGGGGGGGGGGGGCAGCATTGGCCGTGTCATCATGCAGCAGATGACTATAAGCATAATTATCAGCCAGTGGGAGGAGGAGGGCTCAGCTGCCAGACACAGCCAAGCCCTCCTCACCGTAGAGGTTAATTTTGTGAGATTCCTCCTTCAACATTTACAGAATTTGTATTTTAAAGAATGTAATATCACAATGTGGTTTCAAATGAAAACCTTAAAAGTGTGATAGATATTAAAATAACTGCCTTTGCCTTGTTCTCTATATGTATTGTTGTTAAAAATGTCAAGAGTGCTGATAAACACAATGACATCGTAGGTATAGTTGAAAGAGGGTCGCCCCACTTTTGACATGAACCAAAGAGGAGCAGCGCTCTGTTACCGTTTTTTTTATATTTTTTTTTATTTGTGAATGTGTGAAATCCTATAGAAATTCGTCAACAAATGAAGTTCCTTTTAGTCAAGGAAATGTATGTGTAATAATATGTTTGTAAATATGTAATATGTTTTTTTTTTATATGTTCCTAGAACATGTGCATTTTGTTTTGTTTCTATCAAATAGGTTTTGCTTTATGTTTTGAATTTTGAAGCGTTCAAATTCCGAGGTACCACTACATAGAAAGAAGCAAAAGATAGAAGGACACACCAGAGAACAGAAAAAAAATTGAACAAAAATATCCCAAGGCATTAAAGCTGCAGTAAAACTTTACAGAGGAAAATGAAGATGAAATAGAAGAAGGCAATGGAGCAGGTCAGGGAGAAAAAGCGGGATAGTGTAAGAAAGCTGGGTCACTTTTAATATGGCTTGTTTACTCTGGAAAATATACAGCTTTCTACAATTGACAACACTGAAACGCTTATTGAATTCCCATATACATTCTGCCAGTTTATTTCTTCTGTTCCATCACAATTACTCGATCAAAATCATTGCTATTCACTTCCACAAATATGCCACAATAATTATTTACTCAACGTCGACTACACTGCATTCGAACTACATTGACGACATCACGACTGTCCTCATTCAACTCTGGTACACAACTGACCACGAGTCAACATCGGACTTTCCCTTGTTTATCTTTCCACCCCCAAGTATCTTGTGTGGTTGTTTGTCGCAGGGATTATCTACTTGACTTGCTATGAGCATGGAGACCATGCAAAGCCAGTGTCATCACAGATAAAATAATCAAAATACTTAGTAAATGACAGAACATTTTTTTTTAACGCACACACACACAGAGAAAAAACATAGACAAATAAACATAGAGAGCAGAGATATAAAGATGTTACAGTGGAACTGCCGAGGAATGGCACTACAGGAAACCCTACTCACGTATGGAAACACTAAAGGTTCAAATTATTCTTTTTTTAATTTTTTTTTTTTGGGGGGGGGGGGGGGGGGGGGGGGGGGGGGGGGGGTGGGCTAAATAAGATCATATTCTTAAGCTAGAAAATGAAATAAAAAACGGGTTTAGAAAAGGAGAAAAAAAACTAGCAGTATTCTTAGACCTAACAAAAGCATATGATCTATGCTGGAGAAAAGGAGCACACACAAGATTTTTTTTAAATATGGATAACGGGCAAGATTTACAAATACATTCAAAACTTCTTAACCGACATAAACTTTACATTAATGGTTGTTGGTGAAAGATCAGGGGAATACATACAAGAAAATGGAATTCCCTAGGGATCGGTCATCTTCCCCCAACGATCTTTAATATTCTGGAAAATGACCTATACGAAGAATTCACAGACAATAAAAATCGCAGTACGCAGATGATGTGCAATATACTCAAAACTTGAACTGCAAATTAAGTTAACAGGTGGATGAACAAATGTGGCTCCCACATCATCAGGGTTGACGGCACGAGAAATATCGGAAATGAGCATCCCCTCGATATAAATACAAACAAGCAAAAGAAACAAAGCTAAAATCATAAAATAGAAACTAACATTACCTAAAATAGACTATAGCTTAACCAAAGAAGTAAAGAAAGACATTGATGTAGTAAATATAAAATCAAAGGCACTAGAGCATATTAACCCCAAACAAACAAAAACAAGATAGTCTAGTTATATACATAGACGTCTCTAAGAATGACAGAAGGGATACTGGTGTAGAAATTGTGATAGCAGAATGGAGAAGCAAATACAGCTACAAGCTCACAGACAAAATATCGTTTAGAGTTGAGCTGACAGCATTACTAAAAGCATTGGAGCTGGTGAAATCCATCCCACCACCAACAAAAAAATAGGTTTTATCAGATTTACTAGCAGAGGATGCACAGATGCATTATTCACTCTGAGGCAAGTGTGTGAGAAAGCCATTGAGTATAATACCAAATAGAATATTGTGTTTATGAATCAGGAACAAGCTTTTGATAGAGTGAAAAGAAACAAACTGTGGTCTGTTCTTGAGAACTACGGGGTACAAGGACAGTTACTAGAGAACATCATAGCCATGTACCACACAAGCCAAAGTGCAGTAAAAACACAAGAAGGCATATCAGATATGTTCACAGTCAACACAGGTGTGAGACAGGGATGTGTGCTCTCCCCACTTTTATTCAACATCTATATAGATAGAATATCTAAAAAAGCAAGTTATGATACAGACAACATAGACCTTTATAATCACGAGGAAGTACATACATCAGGAGAAGTAATCGATTCACCCACATTAAACAAGCTACTGTTTGCTGACGACCAGTGCTTGTTCTACCCTGGAGAACATAGACTGCAAGACCACATTAACAGGTTAAACTCAGCATGTAGTAAATACAACATGAAGATCAATGTAAACAAAACCGAAACAATGCAAGTTAGTAGACATTCTGCCCCACTACACATACAGCTGAATGGTACTGCCCTGAATCAAGTTAGGGAGTTTAAATATCTAGGAAGTATGATCACAGAAGATGGTAGAATTGACAGAGAAATAGAAACCAGGTGTCAAAAATCGAGTGCACTTATATACCAATTGTCACCATTATTAAGACATCCAAGCATAACTATGATTGCAAAGAGACAGATTATTAATAGCATATTTATTCCAACATTAAGCTACCAGTGCCAAACATGGGCACTATTTAAAGCCCATATACGCAAAATTACCACCTGCGAGATGAGGTGCCTGAGAAAAGCAGCCAACCTAACGAGATCGAGTGAGTAATGAAACTATCAGGCAAATTTTGGGAACAACAACTTGTACTAGATTTATCGAGAAACAGCAGATCAAGTGGTTTGGCCATCTCGGTAGAATGCAGCAAGATCAAATACCATCACAAGCACTACATCTCAGAAGATCAACTACAAGAGCAAGAGGACGGCCGCGGAAAACATGGATCGACAACATTAAAGACACTCTACGCCTTCACGGCATGACAATAGCCAGTGGCAGCCAACCTGCACTGGATCGCAAATTATTCCTCCCCACGTCGCTTATCGGCAGAAGTGGTTTATGATGATGATGATGACTAGCCGCCGTGCAATCCACTTGACAGTCACTGGGCATGCAACAGACCAAACAGAAGAAAAGATACTGGAGTTGGTCACTACACTTGAGACTGAATGTAGCAAAGGAATCAACAGAAACGAAAAAGCGGACAAAGCTGCCAAACTAGGTACCAAGAGCACATATGAAATAAACGTAGGGTTAGGTAAAACAGAAAGGAAGTGCCAAGTAAAACAAAGCAGGGCTGCCAATTAGATTTTTTTGAAAAACCCAGCTTCGCTAAACAAAAACCCAAGCCATACATAGACAAAGAACAAAAAGTTTGTTAAAATGTACACAATTTATATTTACGAAATATATAAGGATATATTTTAAAAAAAACAGAACCCCCCCCCCCCCCCTTTTCCTTTACCCCTTACAGGCGTCAAATAAAAACCCAGATCTGGGAGAAAAAAATCCAGCATTGGGAGCCCTGAAACGAAGAGATACTCGAGGAATTGGAGGAGAAATTGGAAAGAAAGCAAGATTAGCAGAAATACTAACTATTAAAAGAACCAAACGGAAAGTCGCAGATCAAGGAAAATATTAAAATCCCAGCCAACAGAAAATTATGAAAGATGAAATTAGAAAAAGCGGCTTTCAGATGGGAAAACTCTATCTGTGTTGAATGTTATAAGCCAAACAATATCCAACATTTTCTAATAAACT